GAAACGTTTATTCTTGTTTTGGTCTATTAATTTACCCAAAATGGATTTCTCCTATTCGGCTTTATCCCAAAAGAATGAAAAAGAAACCCGTATCTACATACAAAAGTCTGCAGTGGCAAATCTTGTTAACATTTGGGTACGTGTAGGTAAGGACTTCGGAAAACTAAAATATGTTGATTTTTCAATATCCTATTTCACCACTGGATAAGACTAGAGTGAACTAGCCTCTGTTTCAAATGAATAGATGGGAGAGATCAGCAACGTATTTGGCGAGATGGACAGCAAAATGCCCTTCAGCAAGATAGCCGATCAATGAACCATCATCCGCTTTAGCAAGTTAATGTCGTTCTGTCCTTTTGACGTTTTTGAAAACAGAAGAATCAATGTGACTAACTGCTGAAATTATAAGGAGCGCTTAAAAAGAAAAAATAGTGCAAGGACCTAATTCAAAACTCACTATAACTATAAAGACTAGGGTTTAATTTTCTTCCGTTTTTGAAAACGAAAGAGGGAAAATGAACTCAAAGTAAAAATTTTAAATTAAAGAAAAATGATAAAATTAAAATATCTCTTTATTTTTTTAATTTCACGTTATGTATCAAGAAAAAGTATATTATTAATCTCAAGTTTAGATTTATAATTTTCTAAGCAAAATTTATCATTCCTAGATAAATTATGGTTATTTTTAATTAATTCACGTGTTATTTCACATTATGTATCAAGAAAGAATGTGTTGTTATAATATCAAGTTTAAATTTGTTATTTTTTAATGAAAACTTGTCTTTACCAAATAAATTGTTTTCATGAGATAAAGCTAGAGTAAAAAAAATTAACTTTTTTTTTTTGCATTATAATGTTAAGAAATTATTATTGACCTAACAGTGGTCTATCCTTTTGCTGGCCCGTGGGATCAAATCCCATCCCAACGCTTTCCTTAAATAATTTTCCTGGCAAAAAAAAAAAAAAAAAGGCCAGCAACCACCAGGTCGCCGGCGTAATCCCCAGTGACGGGTTGAACGAATATATATTTAACAAGTTTTTTTAATTAAAATAAAATATAAACAAATCTATACTTATATATCTTCTTTATTTAGAAGAAAGGCCCAGGGGCATTTTTACCGTTTTAAATCATTCACTTACACGCAGTGATATCTTAAAGAAAGTATAATGTTTGTTCCTTATAGTTTAATTTGCTTTGAGCTCATAATGCCAGCTCATAATGCCACTAAGGTAACTCACTGTTGACATTAAAATATTATTATCTTTCATTCTTAATATAATATCTATTTAACTAATTTGGGTAGATTAAAAAAAGCAATCAAATTAGTTGTATGTTTAACATATGTGATGATTTTTCTGAAATACATTCTTAAATCATTTGGATTGAAACTACTTTTGATGCAAAGTACCTTAACATACATATGTAATCAATAGATTTGGTATAGATAAATAAGGGGGACAAAAATAATTATGATATTATATTTAGAACCAAATTTAACTTTTCCATTAACTTTTATATTAAAGACAGGAAAGGAGGTAGTAATATTTACAAGCACTATGGCAACATTTGGTAACATAGGCTCTTGTGGCACTTAAACAATACTACTCTTGTAGTCCTTAATATAAGATTTAATTAGCTAATTTGAGTAGAGTAAAAATGTGAGTTAAATTAGTTAATATAATTTGTTTTTTCTAAAACATCCTAAGCATATTTTTTGATTTTCTTACCTCTCTCTTTTACTTTATTATTATTATTGTGAAAATAACAATAAAGTTAATTTGAAAAAAAATTAATAAACATGTGAAATAAGTCAAATCTATAATATCAATATCAATTTTTCAATTAAATCATACACTAAGGACAGAAAGAGTACCAAATAAAAAAAAAATATAATCAAATAACACATGAATTTAATCAAACATCCACCATATGCGTACGCAATCCGCTACATCTGTTGGCATTATATATAGCTTACCTTGTTCCCGCTCCATGGATGCTTCCCAAATGGCTCTATTTACATTTCACACACAAAAGCAAACCCTAATTTATTCTTCCAAAAAAGGGGGGTGGGGGACACATGAAACTGAATATATATATACATGTCACATTATAGCACAAGCATGAGGGTTTTCATCACTGAACACAGACATGGCCTTTTCACTGACCATCATTGAACCAATTGGCTTCTGGTAGTACCCAAAGTCGTCTCCATTATTATACCCATGCTTGTAATAGTTGTAAGAAGAAGACGAAGAATAATAGTTGGAAACAGATGTTCTTCTTCGTCTTCCTCTTCCATTATCGTCATCGTCATTGTCATATTCATAGCTGAGGTTGTTATTATTGTTGCAGTAATGGCGGACGAAGCCGTGATATTCTGGTTCATATGGATATGGCCACAGCTCTGCCTTCTTGCCAGTCTTCCTCACAGTCTTCAGAATCTTGTTTTGATCTGCCCATCCCATCACTGTTACCTTCTGCATTCTCATGTCTATGTCGACATCATCAACTCCTGCAGACATTTTCATTGACTATTAAAAATGTAAGGATTAAACATCTTGATGATACTACTATATATATGTATAGTAATTTAGATCAGAGATTAGAAAAATGTAAGGTTCTTACCAGGTAGCTTTTGAAGGGCCTTCTTTATCTTGCGTTCACAACCTTCGCAGTCTATATTCACGCTGATCTCTACTATCTGTGTGTGTGTGTGTACAACAAAACAATAGAAGAGAAAACCAAAGGTTAGAACAAATGATAGCATTCACTGACATAATTGAATTTTGAGGCTGCACTTACATCAATAATAGTCCATCTAGAGTTTAAAGCACACGCCAAAACAAAAAAAAGGCACTGCTCTGTTTATATATACAGACACACACACGAACAGATATATACATTAAAGCACCCAAAAAAAAAATGATGATACGAAATGTATATTCTGAAATAATAACAAAAGAAATTATCAATGATACATATGTGCTATAGAGCATTATTGGTAAAATAGCTAGGTTTATACTTCGTCCACCCCATCTTATTTATAACAAGCGTATATTAGTTTTACAAAGATATCTTTTTTAATCATGTGCATTTGTAATTGCTTCTTGATTATTACGTGTAATCAATATTGATATTTTAAAGAAAAATTATAAATTTAAAAGATAAAATTGATTGAGATATTATATTTATAGTTAAAATAAATCTCTTGTCTAGAGGAGGCGGTGCAATAATTTTTATAGCTAGAAGTGACGAAATGATATTCAAATATTTCTAATAAAAAGTGAAGAAACAAAATAACAACCAGAAATATATATCTGTTATTACCGTCATGATGAAAGTTGGAATTGAAGAGAGCTTAACGCTTGGGAAGCAAATGTTTTAAGCTTCCTAGAGAACTGTATAGAAGAAATCATAAAACCATATGATCTATTTATAGGCAAAAGAGAGACAAGCCTTTATGTTGTCCTGTTGAAGCCAAGCAAAATAATAATTTGAGACAAATCTATAAGAAATAGTACTATGATGTCACACACGTGTGGTCCCCAGGAAGATTTCTTGCCCTCCAATCAATTTGCTTAATTGTGAAGTTGATGACAATGTATATGCACTCTTTATCTATAGACCTATGTTTGTTCTAGAGCCATGATGTGAAAGTGCATGGAAAATGCTTTAGATATTTGTAGGGTTCTGAGAAAATAACCGCAACAAAAAATAAACCTTGCTTAATTAATACGGCTCCGGTTTTAAATATGAGATCTATTTTGTAGTATAAATTATACTAGAAAATAAGTCTTATATTTAGAATCGGAGTAGTAGTAATAAAATTCACGATCACCAGATTATTATTTTATAATTAGGGCTTGATTAATTAATTAAGTTACCGATCGTCAATTAATCATATGGAATCTTCCAACGAAATCTTTCGAGTTTGACCTCTTAGAATTAACGGGTAGGCACCGCGTGGCGTGGGATCATTTGTTTATATGTATGAAAATTGTCGCTGTAAGTTCAATGGTGCGCGTGGTGCACGCAATTGAGGAAACTACTTTACGACTCGCTTTTATATAATATTTTTATAATCTTATTTATAGTATAGAAAGAAAAGATTTTACTAATCCTATTTATAAGTTATTTCATTAAATTTTTAACATAAATATATTATTTGTTCTTCATTTATTATAGTATATATAGTTTTTTTTTTGAAGATGTATATGTTAAATAGGAGTAAGGTTGAAAAGTTGTTATGTTTTAATAGAGAGTTAATACATTTTAAGATTTTTCTTAGCCTGTGTAAAATATGTTGGAAGTATCTTATAAATAAGATAAAAAAAATATACTACCTCATGCTGTAGACAAGAGCTAGACAAATAGTTCATTTTAAATAATAACTATAAGATTTTAATTCACTTTATCTCCCAACTATATAATTTTTATTTAAATACCTATTGATTGCTTATATTAATGAAACTCCTAATCAAAAAGTAGTTTCAATGCATATGATTGAAAAAAGTAATTGAGAAAAATATTAAAAAAACAAGTGATAAAATATAAAGTTGATAAAATTATTGAAAAAAGGGGTGGGAAAAGCTATAACGTTCGACATTTTTATGCAAGGTGAAAAGTTTATGCACATTTTTATTCATATATGCATAGGGTTGCATGGCGTCTAACATACCAGCTCCATTTCAAAATATCATTAAAGTTATGTATGCAAAAATGGCCTAATTTATGTACTTGCATATTCTTTTTATCTGTATAAAACAACTCAAATGATTAAACTTTCATTATACTTTAGAAAAGGGAACAGACTCACGAATTCATATAAATTTAGTTGAATAAAATTTTATCTTCTATCAACAAATATTAATAATGGAGATACCTGTGGATAATTCGCCAGAAAAAAAAATGAAGATAACAAGAAAAGCAAAAACGCTATACGGACTGATGAGAAACTCCAAGCAGGAGCTAATTACAAAGCCAGAAAATTAGGAAAATCTCATACAATGCCAGAGTTAAACACATGCAAATCCAGCAACGTACCGTAGTATCCCTTCTCAATTTCCTCCTCCTTTACTTGATGAAGAAGTAAGGTCTCAATAATCAGGTCTTCCCAATCAACTCCATCAACAAGCTTTCTTCTTCTCTTGAACTTTTTCTCAGAACAATCAGCACCCAAATCAGAATTCCATGGATGCATTATTCTATCTATACGCACCTTAGCAGCATTGATCTTCTCTCTTCTCATCTCACATTTCAAGCAGTTTGAAATAAAAGAAGGTGGCATGGATTCGAATCCGACATCCTTCTCGAGTAACTGTTTGAGCACAAGCTTTTTGCTCAATTCTGATTTTCCATTCCACCACTCACTACAATCCTGAAGATCGACCCTCTCGGAAGATTGCTCATACAACATGGACAAACATTCAGGTGAATAAAGCAGTTTGTTTGCATCCCTAGCACTTGGTCTTGTAGAGTGAATATTGTTTTGTGATATGCTACAATGAGAATCACTTGGGAGGTTTATGGAATCAGTCTTGTGTCCATTTTCATCGAGTTTTCTTAAACATTCACTAACCATCTCTGCCAAATTAGCCTCAGGACGATCTAGGTCTTTCCTTTTATCAACAGGTTTCAACATAGCCTTTGTCTCCAAATACTTAATTACAGATGGTGCATGTTTGACAATGTTTCTAGTGGTGATATCTCTTCCCCAAGGCAAAACTTGTGCCACTTCTACAAGTTTCTCTAAAAGCTCTTTGTATCGTGTTTTACAAGTGGAAACAACAGCATGAACTTCCTTGGCCAACTCGCTAATTCCAATTTCAACTTGATTCAATTCAGCGACCAGAACTAAAACAGCAACTACCAATGGAAGTGGCTTACGTCCGGTACTCAAAAACCACTTCATTGCACACTGTAACAAAAATATCCCCTGCTTGCGCATTCTGTCTACTTTGCTTCTGTCAATTCTAGCAAAAGATGGTGAAATCTTAAGGACCCTTTCCAATGAATGCACGATATCAAACTCTGGAAAATCTGATTTTTTCAAATCCATAAAATCAATAACTCGTTTAATCATCCTACCCAATTCGTAAACATCACATCCGGCTGCCCATGCCACTTCAGCCATAGACATTGGGCGATTATCCTTTCGCATCACTATATACACACATGCACCAATTAAAACCTGAAACCAATCACCTTGCCCAAATTCACCCTCTGTGATGGTAGAAATCATCGCTTTAATATCACTCATTTTTGAAGATATACCTAATCTAGAAGTTAATTCATCTATCAAACTTTGGGCTTGAAAGAATTTCCTTTCTTTGTAACTATATATAGTACCTGCACCAGAAGTTCCAACACGGATGAATGTTCCTTGTGGACCATTGATGCCACCAATATGGGCTTCAAACTGATCATATTCTTGAACAACACCACACAAGGAACATATCAAATCCCCAGACACATCATCCCTAACAAGAGAAGTTTTCCTACAACTTTTGCAGGAACGTGTGCTTGCCATAGTGTACCACAAATTTCAAAAGGGGAATTGTTTTCAAACGTATTGCTTCCAAGGAACTGTTTGGTGAGCGAAGTCAAGTTCTAACTTGAGAGAGGATACTGAACAAGCAGGGAAGCTACACTTTTTTACGCAAGACTCCACGTAATTCACTGGGAGACTAGCATGGAGATAGCAGCACTGCATTTAGTCAAACAAATAATAGGTTAATACAGTAATATGATTCGAAAACATTACATTCATGTTAATCTTCTTATGAAATTTGCTTAGCCCATCCACAACTAGTTGAACAAACTTATTTATAGAATTATAGAACAGCATTCCTTAAGATCTAAAATCCTATGTGTAAAATCATAAATCTTAGTTGTGCATATAAAACGAGAATCCTAAACATACCGCACACATACCAGAAAAAAATAATTTTTTTCTAAGTAGAAGATTTACTTGAAAATTCCGTGTTTATCAGGTAATTTATCATACCCACTGATGGTTGTTATAGAACAGCATTCCCACCATCCCCACCCCCAAAAATAAGAAATCTATTAGTAGCGTTGAATTTTTAAGGGGTCATTGCTTCCGTCTCACTGATGGTTGTTAGTTTGCTTAATTGCTGGTGGATTGAATTGCCATGATCTCTAATTTCACTTCAAGTTCCACTTGGAATCATGGGGGGAACTTTCATGATTTTCCCTTCCTTTTTTAGTCTGCTCAGCTTTATGCTTGGTTAGAAGACGTTTTCATTGCTCAAGCAACATCAATTGAAAATTCATTTGAAAACAACAATGGTAATTAAGTTGGTAAATGACAGTGAAGCTAGCTAGTTAGGCATGCCTAAGGTAATGCATATTTCCATTCATTTTGAAAGTCTTAAGTCTCAACACCTCATTCCAATTGCTTCTTCCAAGATGCTCGAAGAGCCTCAAACGATAACATGAAAGAGGTGGCCAAGATTACGTAACTATAAGTAGACCACAGCTAAAGATGCCCAATTCATGTACAGACTTATGACATGATAAATGTTTACTCTACTTGGAATCAAGTCTAATTTGGCTTTAGGACTTCTTTACCACGGTCATTGTCTTGCAATCTCCCAAACCTAACCTGAATGTAGTTGAAAGGGCCTGGGAGAAATTGTTTAACGTTGTGTTTTAAAAGGCTCTAAAAACTCAACCACATACAAACACTTAATATTATTGTGCTGCCAGCATAGGAACAGCAAATTTTATAGGACATGTAGTCATTATGACAAATGCCAAGTCTAGAAGGGTAGTTTTGAGTGCTATCAAACATTGAAAGCAAAATCCATCGATGTGACTAAAAAGGAAAAAAGAAATCATTAAAGATTAGGCTTAAATATATAATTAGCCTTTATTTCACCATCACAAGAGTTCTATTTAATCAATTCACCTCCTCATGCTGTCAACATGCATGAAACAGTAAGCTTTCCAAAGTCACCTTTAACACAGAAAGAAATAACAATGGTTCAACAATTGAGTATAATTATAAGACTCTTCAATGTGATTCTGAATTTCAAAAGAAGGTTCTTCAATTACCACATACCAGAAATAGTCCACTCTACGACCCAATAGTCCAGTCCAGCAGCTAAATATTTACTGTTGAAAATTGAAACAAGCATATACAGAGCGCATTTAACTAATCTTCTCACGAACACACAAGCACTTAGGATTAGTCAGTACTCAATTTAAAACACAAACACATTCAATATTCAACAAAAATCATAAAGTGAATTTAAAATTGGAGTCTGGAGAGAAGACGAACCTAAAGCCAAAGCCCAAAAGCACACAAACTCACGAAGAACAAAGTAGAAGGCTAACTGGGAGAGGGGAGGGCGCAGGGCACCGAAGTCAGGTTGAGATCTGATACGTTCGACGGCGAGAATCTGGAGCCATAAAAAGGACGCAACAACGAGAGGCAGAGATGCAGATACAGCCGCCAACGACGGCTACCGTCCAGAGGCAGAGGCGCAGAGATCGGGAGAACGTGGAAGTCGAACTTCGCAGGAGCGAAATTACAGAACGGGGTATTGAGTCTCATACAGAACGGGGATGAAGATCAAAGAAGGAGGATGAAGAAGAAGTCGAGGATAGAAGATGAAGATTGAAATAGGGGGATATATTCATTGAAGAAGGAAGAGGGGTGAAACTCTTATCTGTAAAATCGATTCTTCTCTTGAGATGAAAGAAGAACCGTTGTCTCCTCCTCCGATCTCAGGGCCGTTCTTCGTCGCTGGAATTTAAGAGAGTCGAACGGGAGAAACAAAAGATGAAGAAGCAGCCACCGGAGAGGGAGAGAGAGCAACGCCCTCGTACGGGGGGTGTTTACACCCTTAAAAAAACCAAAACCATGGTTTTAAGTCAAAACATGGTTTTAGTTTAAAATCATGGTTTTGAAAAAAACAAAAAATTTTTGCTTTTAGGGAAAAAAAAAGAGAGTGTGAAAACCTATAAGATATGTATCTTGTTGTTTTTTTTATAAATATATTTTTTTATAAATATATTTAATCTTATATCTTATAAATATATATACATATTAATTATTTATTAATTATATTATCGTATGAAACACTTCTTGGTAAATTGAAATTAAATGATTACTAATAAATATTATACTTGCTCTTTAATACAAGGTCTTGTTTGATTTTTATTTTGATCCTAAATATAAGACCTCCAATCCATTTTGTCTCTCATATTTATACATTTTTTTTAAGATAGTCTTTCTAACAATGATAGTTATAGCCAATATACTTAATTAGTAAATATATTTTAGAAAAGACAACATGTATTTATTACAAATAACTAACTTAATTTTTTTCTCAAATTTCTCAAATTAGTCAATTAGCTTTTATAATTAGGGCGGAGGGAGTATTTTGTTTTAAAAAAATCTTTTTATTAAAAAAAATCCGTTTAAAAATTTCTGAAGAGAACCAATTTTGAAGGCTACTAATATCATCTCTTTTTTCAATGTTATCTTTTTGAAGTGAGGTGGATGAGTTAGACGTGGATATAGTATATCCAATCGATTTGTTTTTGCCACTTATACTTTTTATTTTTTTATTTTTTAATATTAACTTTGAAGAGAGCTCATTGAATTAATTGTGAGATCACATCATATCTGCAGGATACATCTTAAAAATTTACTGTATTTTTAAAATTAATTTTTTATATATTTAATTTCATTCTTTTGATTTTTTTATTACTAATCATACCTGTATCTAAAATCATAAAAAATCACTTTATCACTTTATAATTTAATTTGTCAATTATTTCAAAGATTATAGTGTTTTTTGAAAATTTGATGTTTTATTCTTATATACATCATTACATATTTATGTAATATTATTTTTATCTAATTATTATATTAACAGTCCGATCAAACGGTCTAACCGATCTAACAGTTTGAATCATGACCCGTTAATCTTTTCAGTTTGACATCTGGTTTGGTTTTTAAAATATTGCTTGTAACGGAATATGATATGCGTGTGAGATGGAAATTTTTTTCAGAATTTCATGATATTTTTTAAAACCTTTCAAAACAAAAAACAAATAATCTTTTAAAAAATATCCCTATTTAGTTAAGGACATACTTAAATTTTTTTTTTTTTTAGATTTTGGTCCTTTTTTTTTGCAATTCCTTACTATAGTTACAAATTTAATTTTAAAATCATGAAATTAAAAGTTACATTTCAAATTAGTTTGATTTCAAATTTTTAATCGATAGACATATCTGTATATGTTTCATTATTTTCTTACTTTTGTATAATATGCTGCAGACTTATGGTAAAAACTTAAGATTAAATCTAAGTTCATATTTTAGAAGAAAAGAAATGATTTTAATAAAATTCAAGGGTGTAAATGTGATTTGGACGGACTCTTGAAGCAGTTGGAGAGGTTGATAGAAGAAAATATTTCTGCAAGTATTTATACTTTTTTTAAATTTAATACAAATGCCTTTTTTTTCCTCTTTTTTATTAAATCATTTAATTTTGTTCCATTAAAACCGTTAAGTTTTATAGCTTCGTTAACAGTACTAATAAAGCAAAATTGAATGATTTAATAAAACGAGAAGAAAACATGGGTACTGTGACAACCGCTCTTTCAAAACCATTTTAGATTAAATCCAACAATTTATTTGAATGATTAACCATGATAGAAAAGAAGAAACCTTAAAATTTTAAAATTGCTATCATGGTTAAAAGAAATAAACTTATATTACGAGCCACATTAATCGTTCACTTGGGCCTTGGACTTTCAAAGTCCAGAAATATCATTCAACCGTTAGCCCAAACCAAACTTACACTTTCAAACATACGAACTGATAAAACATTTTAATATAAGTCATAGAGCCCATTAGTGAAAAATCAACATTATCAAATCAGTGTAATACGCAAAGTCTAAAATGTCTCGGACCTCCTCACGGCCCTATCATACCAGATAGTAGTAATTAAAAGTATTATTTTACATCATGATGGTAGATGAGCCCTATGTGGCAATATATAACAAGTCAACACATAGAACAAAAGCAGGGAGGCTATACAAGCTATAACAGCACACTATGCCTCCGGAGCCTTCCCTGATGGGCCACCACCTGAACTATCGCCTGAAAATGTTAAACCACGGGGTGAGACAAATGCCTCAGTAACCAACTTTCCAACTCATCATACATACTAACACGTGCTCGTGAGGTGTCAAGTGGGACAGTTATAAATTCTCGAGAACTATAGATATATCCATAGAAATATAATTTCAATCATCCAAACCCTCACTATGGGGGCCAACACACAAGCCACATAAGTCTATCCCTCACTCTGGGGGATCAATCAACCATATGGGCCTATCCCTCACTTTGGGGGACGAATAAGAAGCCACAAAGGCCTATCCCTCACTATGGGGGACGAAAGAAGAAGCCAACCAATGTGCACCAATGGCGGCCTTACCACGTGGTAGGATAGGACTCAATTAAAATCCAAATAACAACCAATCATTCACAATATAATAAAAATGCCTCAATCTTTTCTCAGTATAATCCATAAGATATAAATCATATATCTTTTCCAAACTTCTCAATCACCATTCCAAAAATCCCACAAGACAATTTTCAAAGCTCAAAAGATATAACATATCTACTCAAGTTCCAAATATCAAATATTATTCTGAAAACAGCAAAATACTCACAAACAACATATTAGCACATATAACAAGTGGAAAGTGGTTACCTCTCGCCAAAGCAATACTAAGGATTACCACAAGGTCAATCCTTTGCTCAACCAATAATTAATCTACACAATTAATATAACCACATATTAATATAAACTAATTAATTAATTAATTAAACTTCTCCATATTATTTAAATTTTTACTCTAAATTCCCGCAACTCTCATAACCCAAAAATTATTAAGTATTTTAGCAACAATTTAAAATTTCTAACAACCCCAAATTATTTATTTACCACCTCCAAATTATTTACCTTAATAAAAAGGATTTTCAACAATTTCTAAATATAAAATTATCATATTATAAACTCTAAAAATCCTCATTTAAGTTTAAACCTCAAAATCAAACTATCAAAAATTCAATAATATTTCAAATATTTATAAATAAATAATCTAATCAAAACTTTAATGGTATAACTACCATATATATATTTCCATAAATAATAAACTTTTTAGCTACAATAATTATTTTAAAACCTCCAGTCACCCAATAAATAAAAATAAACCGATTAAAATCTTAATAATAGGTTAAACACCTCAATTAAATTATTCAACTTAATTTTAATCGGTAAAATATGATATAAATCATATATCACATATTTTTCAACTAGAAAAATCCATTTAAGCACTAAAACCAACAAATGGACCAATCCAAACCGATTAAAATCTCAATAATATATCAAACAATCCAAATAAATTATTTAACTTAAATTTAATCGGTAAAAATATAATATAAATCATATATAACAGATTTTTCAATTAGAAAAATTTATTTAAATACTAAAAACCAACAAATAGAGAAATCTAAACCGATTAAAATTAACAACTCATTTACTTCTAAATTTCTATAGTCATCTTTTGTCAAAACTCAATAGTTAAATCATATACAAGTCTCAAAATTTTCTCCAATCACTATAGTAATAACATAAATAGGAAGCTTAAAATATACAGGAAATATTTATAAAGAAAGTTTGATAAAAAGAAGTAGTTTTATGTACCTAAAATATCTTCAAAGCTTGCCCTCTGCTTCACCGGTATGCTCCTCTCTCTCACACACTCTTTGGCTCTCTCTCTCTTTTTTTTCTTCTTCTCTTTCTCTCTTTCTTCTTGCGTTTGCCGTGGGAGGAAAAATGAATTGTGGGGGGTATTTAACACCCCCACACAATTATTGGGGGAGGGGTTTTTTCAAACCCAAACCCCACGTTTTCCACCCCCTCCCCAATTTTCCACCCCCCCTTCAACTTTCCACCAAAATATCGGTGGAAAGTTGGACCTTTTCTTTTTTTTTTTTTAAATTATTATATTATATTATATTATATTATTTTTCAATTACTTTTTTTTTTAGGATATTACAGGTACCAAATTGAATATTGAAGAAAACAGAGGCATCTGCAAAATGGTTTTCTCAAGGTTGAAAAATACAGCAAAAGACACAGAATTCATGAATAATAAGCATGCCGATTCACCCAAAAAAAGAAAAAGGCATGCCGGGAAACTTATGCTATATTCTAAAATAAAATAGTAATAATAACTTTTGAATGTCTAAATTAGATTTCAATTGCTCAAAAAAATGTGCACTAACTTTTTTCTATTATGGTGGTGCAGGAGACCA